TGTGTGACGGGAACTGGAGATTGGTTTCCCGATTATTAATAGCATTTTTGTGTTCGCCAATCAATGGAGGTATAGATATGTGCGTTGGACCGGCCCCGGGATGTGTGGACCAAATCAGGTGTTTACGTTGACAACCGACGGCGTCCAGGAGTCGGTCTCTATGGAGAAGTGCGTTGACGTGAAAATGGCGAAAACGCGGCGCCGGCGGGCCGTCCGCCAGGAGAAGCGCAAACAGTTGTGACGGCACACAAAGGGTGGACAGATAGTCAATGAGCACACCGGCCACACATGAGACCACCAAAAAATTATACATTGTATTAATATTGTGATGTGAGCTAGGTGTTTTATACGGAATATTCTTTAATAGATATCTGTTTTGTAATGAATTAATATCACAGTTCAAACTCGATATCCATTCAGATTCTTCCGATTCTCATCGGGGAAACAATTATAGCGATAATTATATTGAAATTATAACTAAGATCCGGTAAAAGGTGTTTTAAATAGTGGGTAAAAAGGGAATGTTGTAAAACATAATTTTGGAGCAAAGCCTTAAATTTACCTTGAACATTCATTAATTATTTAGATATTAAACTTGTGAATATATGCACGTATCATGGTTATGTTACTGTATTTTTATACAAATTTAGTAATATATAAGCATCGAAATTTTAAGATACAATTGATTATACGGTAATAAGCCTGGTACACAACTACCATAGTATATTGTTAAATACTCATATTATCGGAATAAATGCATTCACTTTTACACGGTTTGTAACTAATTGTCCCTAATTTTATAGTTATAATTATTAAAAGTTGTCGGTTAGTAACTTTTAGAGTTGGCAAGGCTATGACTCCTAGCACCGGTAGGGGTTTCATACGTGAAACAAAAGGGACCAAAGAGCTGACTCAAAATGTGGAACAGTAGGGGAATGGGAGCCGCTCTGGAAAGACGACTGGAATGTGTTGTATGAGAATCAGGGGTTAACTGATGAGAGAGGTCTGGGAGTGAAGGGAATACCGGCGCCAATGAAGTGGACACACATGTATGAGTGATTTCCAAAGCATCGTTTCTGTTCATACAAATAGTTACATACAGTAGTACTGTATGTATACATATACCTGAGTAATACATTAGCTATAAAATGTATTACTCAGGTATATGTATGCATACAGTACTACTTTATGTGACTATTTGTATGAACAGAAACGATGCTTTGGAAACCACTCATACACATGTAATTAATGTAATGTAATTTTTTGGTCATATATTTTTTGTAAATATAATTTTTTTTATTTATGTTGCTCATTTACAATAAAATATAATTTATTTTGTTAAACATTTTAAAATATTAAATTTAGAAAATAATTTTGTTTTATATCATAAATATAATATAATTTTTTTCGTATAAAATATATATAATTATTGAATTATGTTTTGCTAATTAATGGACAAATATTTACATAATCCATGTGTTGAATGATATATATATAATTAATTCAATTTTACAAACAAAGTTCATCCTTATAACCATTACAAATATGCCTTGAGCAGTTATACATGTAAATGCTGTTATACATGGTGTGCCCCAATGGTGTTGTGTTATGATATTTCAACAAAATATACTCTAAAATATGTTTTCGATTATAATAATGATTTCATTACAAAACTAAATATATGTAAATTAGTTGTCATTTTTGAACATTAATTGGTTGTAATCATGTGATAGATGCCATCGATGAACACCATTATCCTACCGGTTGTCCCTTTGCGCATCTCCGCCCAATCCCTCTGATTAGACAATTAAGCCATAAATTAGATATTAATATAATTGTCTATCATTTGATTCATATATCTATGAATAGCTACCGACCCCTTCGGGCACCAGACTCCCATCGGACAGTTTGAACCGCTGTCTCGTGAGTCGGGCCATCAGGTGCTGTATGAGTAGCACTCGATCGCCGTCTTCGGGACCTAATCTGGCGATGAATCTCAACAGATATTCCGCTGTATATCGAGTGGACTAATAAAATACAGAACAGTCTTAACACTCGTTATCATGTCATTAATGGCAGATCACTGGGGCTGTAATACCTGATCGAGTTTAAGGAGTGCGTCCAACGGCTTCTCCGCCTTAACCACGATATGACACAACGAGGTCTTCGTGAGCACCGTCTCGGCCAACGAGTCGATCCACGACCACAACAACGCGCACAGCATTTGGACATTCATTTCGTGGCTTAACTTCTGCCACACCATAGGCTTTGTGTTCAAGTCTTTCTGTTATTTATATTACAATAAATTGTATGAAAAGTAATTCATTTATTAAATATATTAAATTTAATATTAGATAAAATTAGTTTAATTATATATATACAGTATTATAATAGTTTGTTGTATTTGTTTTCCATAATACAGTATAAGTAACTACAGTAATACTTTAACAGTATACTACTGACTACCCATAAAGCTACTTTCCTGCAATACACTCTTACAGTTAACTGTAAGACTTACAGTGTTTGCATATTATTATTATTAATTATGTATTATTCAATGTTCTAAATATTTTAAAACTACTTTTTAACAACCAGATTTAACTATACTTATTAATTTTATATAATGTATAATGTTCTCATAATATACTATAAAAATTTGTTATATATATATATTTTGAGTACGATCATTACGGTTTGTTAATGTTATTATAAAGGCAATGTAATAATTTTATTTAGTATCTATTATGTTGCGTAAGTCTAAAAATGTCAAACAATTTATATAAAATCATATTAAGACATAATTGTGTTATTATTTTTATGTAATTATTGTTTATGTTTATACCCTTAACCTATTTTTGTTGACATTAAAAGCAATATTTATTTTTGTCACATAATCTAATATATATGATAGTTTTACTTTTACTGGGAATTCAATGATAGTACTCATGCACTAAAGTGCATGTATTTATATCACACAATGTGTTATATAATTGTTATTCAAAGCATATATAAAATAATAAAATCTCTGTAAAAGGCTTGAATCGTTTGAATGATTCACTAAATTATAGTCTATACTAGAAATTTAAACTCATTACTGATCGTAAAATGTACCACAAATTAGTGAATTAATACACATTTTGCTCGTCCAATATAATTTATACGGTATATGCTAATACTTTTATAAATTAATATTATTCAAATGATTAATAATTTCAATCAAACTATAGTTAATAGCTATTATTACAACTAAAAATCAGTGATTTTTGCTAAATCATAGCAATATAAAAAATATTAATTTTGAATAATTTTCAAATTAAACGCAAACCTGGTATTGAAGCAAATGATAGCCAAACGGCTTATTATACGCCATATAATCGGCTAAAAGCGCTTTAATCACATCCTTATTGTCGACCGACTCGTAGTCCTCCCCTTCCGTACTGTTCCCACAGTTTGTGGACACGAAGCCTGAGCTGCACTGAGCGTCGATCGACGAGCCGGTGCTCTCACTATCATCGCCGCACTCGTCGTTATAATAGGTGTTACGGCCGAAGAACTCGTCGTCAATGAGTTTGTCGTTCACTGAGTAGGCGTTCCTCTTATTGTCGCCATCGCTACCGTTCCCGAACTCCATGTCCTCCTCGTACACCATTTGCGAGGAATCTATTTTAACCACACGATAGCCGAGGCTCTCGATGAGGGACGTCAGGCTCTCCGATAGGGACGACTCCAATGAATCGTCACCTCTACTACTACTGTGGCTACTGGCCTGCGAGCTACCGGTGCCCGTCTTAGGCGACTCGATGCCCACGCGACTGATCTGACGCATGGGTGCACTCATGCCGTCCCTCTCTATGAGGAACTCGTCGTCAACCGGCGGAAGACCCGATTGCGGACTCGACTCCGCCCTATCGGTCATTAGTTTATGGCTTTTGGTCGCATTACCCGTGCGTTTAGGGCTGTGTCTGTCGGACATGTCGTCCAATTCGGTTAAGTAGGTCTCGGGGCTACCGATGCCAGAGGTCATGGCTGTGGTATGGTTGGAGGCGGGCCTCCGGTGTTGTCTCATGAGGTCGGCGGTGGCGCCGGGAGTGAGTCCCGAGAAGAAGTATTTGCAGAAACTGTCGCTTTTGTCTAATTGGAAATGAATGCCAACCTCTTTGCTAACGGCGCCCGAGATACTGATCCCACGGGAGTAGGCTTTGTGTCGTCCGCACAGTTTCAACAGTCGCTCGCAAATCACGTAAATTATCTGTGAATTCGCGATAAAATAGACATAAAATACAAAATATCAATACGTTATTCGCTTTGACTGATTGAAAAATGCATAAAACATAGCAAATAATGATTAACTTATGAATGAATAATTTAAATCATTTGCAAATCTATTGTACGGATCATTAAGAGCCGTCCATAAAGTTATTATTTGCTATAAATTTATAATGTTTTATGAATATTAAATACATCGTATGTATTACATACCACATAATAGCCTATAATTAAATAATTACTACCGTATAATATATTACAGTACTAGTACTATAATCTTTGCGTTTTAATTATACTTTTAAAATCTGTATTCAATTGTGTTTTACTGGGTTTTAAACTAAATATTTATATTTTAATTGTATATAAAAAGTGTTTAAAATTTTATTGAATTATTGTCTATAGGTCTCTCAAATTATAGTGTGATTTATGATGTATAAAAATAAAATTGTATTAAAATTATAGTTGAAAATAATGCCATACTTTGGGTATATACTTAAGATGTCTCAACTCGTATCCGTGTAACAAAAGCCTCTGTCTGTGCAATATTTGCGCCAAATTGAGACCCATTTGTCGATGAATTCTGGCGTTGGTAACAAAATTCACACAAATTATATGCCATTCAAAATCAATACATTAAATATGAATTCATGAACACAAAGGTTTTGATTCATGAAAGTAATGGATAGTTAGCTATTGATTTAGGCGCATAATAATTATAATTATCGCGCTCATACTATATATATGTATACCTGCACAGCTTATATAGGTATACAACATGTAATATTAGGCAAAACAAATTAGGTATCGATTTTTTGTGTGTGTTTTCTCACACAACATACATGTGCTGGTAGATGACAAAAAACGGCACCACATACTGCGAAAACTGTAGTACACTGAGTATCTGTCCCCTCGTTTGTATAGAGTTAGGCCTTGAAGTTGAGTGAATGGTATTTGTTATTAAAAATCATTTTCAAGACATTTATATAAATCTAAAAAACTTGTCTACCGTTTGGATCGCACATATCGTATGGCGTCGTGAGGTTTGCACCGGAAGGCAAACACCATATACGAGGCTATGAGTACACCCGTGCGGCCCAGTCCGGCGTGACAGTGAACGGCCACCTATTAGAGGGGAAAGGCAGTCAGTCCCCCATCGGAACGACAATTAATTAGTAAATACGTTCATAGTATGATATAACTATAGTTTTTTTATGATTGCACATACCTTTCCCTCTGTGAGCGCAAATGTGAGCACTTTAACCATATCTAACAACACCTCATCCGATACTATAGAGTAGTCTTTCCATTGAAAATTGTAAAAATATACTGAAATAGAAATAAATAGTAATTCGTGTGAATTCTTATTAACTAAAAGCTAACTATATATGAAAATATGAAATAAATATACAGTATAATATTTTTATACATTTACTAAAATTCTTATCATTTACAAATTAATAGTTTGAAATTATTAATTGAAATACAAAGCAATTACAGTATTTGTTATTAAATAAATATAATATAAAAGTAATTATAGAGTTTTTTTTCTAGTTTCAAATCAAACACTACACTACTGTATAGTATATGATTATAGACTAACTAATAATATAATAATGACTGTCAGTATTAAACAAATGCCTCTGAATGGCACCAAAGGACTCATTAATGGCACGGATTGCGTGATAATCGGCCATCAATTCACATGAAATTAATGACTATAATGAAGGCTTTTATATCACTTTCATTACACAAACATTGTTTTTTCAATACAAAAAAAATAATTTTTTAATTACAAATTTCTGGTTCATTTGTATTGAATAGTTTTTTTTCCACACGGGTCATTTAATAAATTCATATCACAATACAAATACAAATACCGTTATTCTCCATGAATAGTATGGGATCGTATGAGAAGCCACTGTCCATAAGGCCGTTACCGCACGAGGCGTGCTCTCCCGGCTCCTGGAGGTTTATTATCGACTTGATATTATT